CATGACCGAGCAGCATGGAAGAGGTTTAGAGCTTATAAGCACAGCATTCGTGGGATCATCCTGGTCCAAGCCTTTCTGGAATCATTAAGGTAAATGCTCTGACACTAATATTCCACAAATATGTAATTCTTCAGTTCTTCATTTCGTCCATCGAAATTCGTAGAAGTCTGACGAAGGCTTTCCGCCCTATTCTCCGGGTTTGTGCAACTATTACACCCTGCACTGTATGATTGTATTACGTACGTATGTATGTGGTATGCTAAAAGCGCGTCTTTTCTTAATAAATTTGAAAACTTTAAATGTCTTTCTATAGGTATTCCGACGAAAAGAACAGGAATAGAATCCTATTTTGAAATTAAAATTACTGTTATACGGTTATAGATACACGTTATTGTTACCAAACAAGAATGGTGACAAATTGACGTTAAAAAAACTCATCCCATTTTCTGCCGGGGATAGACTATAAAAGCTTCGAAATGCGAAAACTTTTCCAGATATTAACGACTTTTCTTGCCGTGCGAAGCAAAACGTTGTTGTTGCGATTTATTCAACTGAAAAGTCAAATTTTCACCGACCAATATAACACCACCCCCTCGCCCCCAACATACATACGTTTTCACGCAAGTTGAATGTCGCCTTCAGCGCCAACCGTTAAAAATCCAATATTCTCGGGCTGTAGAGTAAACATACATTACAGAGACATCATTTATAACGTTTTTAACATGTCATGTCACGCTGTATCTGCTGCTGCACGACGTTACGTCGCGCCGTAGCCAATTCAAATAATGTTTGAATATTTGCAACTGTATAATGTGGCATAATTCTCGATTTTAAATGCATACTCCTCAGAGAGTATATTATAGCTCGTTTATGTTTATGCACTTATCAGTTTGCTATCCATGGCTCATTATCACTGTCACACCTTTTTAATTTATAAATGAATTGCTACTATCCTCACACACCCTAATACCTATCGCACTAATACGTGGATATTTGTAATATGAAACAATCTAATTCGTTCCATTTGTGCCACGGTAAAGGGAATATTAAGACAATTTTTGTAATGTAAAATTATTGATGCAATTTCTGCCCATTATGCTAGTTGTAGTCTACACGTAAAGATAATGGTGTACGGTAGTCGAAAGTTTTAGCGATTATTTTATCCGACCTAACAATATCAGTCTCTGTATGTACCTACTTGATGGTTCATTAAGATTCAATCAATTTTATCTACGTAAAGCTAATAAAGACGCTTTTCAAAAATTGGGCTATTTGTTACATTGAATCATAAAATTAGACCTATAGATACACTCTTTTGAAATAAATATGTATTGTCTATATATCGAAGAACTACATAAAATCGTTTTAAAATATAAAACGCATAAACGTGAACCCGACAGGCTATAACCTCGATTCATACAAGGTCCTGACAGGGACCACCTTATGTGGATATGAGTAGGACTGATGTGCTTTTCTTTACGGAGGACCTGATAAGGAAATGAAAATAAGGACTTAATAGGGAAATTCAAAGAACCCTATTAAAACCCGATTACAAATTTATTATTAAAATAGGCCAGTTTTAAGATAACCATGGATTTATTGATAAAATGTTTCTGACTTCGTATAAAAAGACTGGTAAAATTGTAATTGACATTTAACAAGAAGGAAAATCCATTTTCTCTTGGATAGTCATCTGATGATATTTAAATTCTGGCCAATCAGGTTTATCCACACTCAGTAATCAGGTTTATCCACACTCAGTCTTGATCAGAATTTAATTATATTTACCCTGTAAAGGATGAAATGATCTGATCCCGATAAGATTCTAGAGTGGAAAACTTGATTTAATCAATTTACTTTGATGGGCTAAACTGTGGACATCTTGATTTGGACCTGACAAGTGTAGGTATTCTTATTGCGGATATCTTTATCACATATATCAGGCTAACCTGCTTCTAGTTTCTAGTCGGATAGGTTTCTAATTTTGGGGGTTATTTATTTTATTTAGTTTAGTTCCACAGATTCTAATTCCTCTTTTTGAATTACTTAAGAGTGAAATGCTATTTATTATTATTATTAGTGTTATTCACCATGAAAACCATGCTATTGAAATGGTCAAATAAAATGGATTAAAAAATGTTATATTGACGTGTGTGGGTATAGGTACAGTGCTGAGAAATAAAATTCGTAAAATCCGACTTCGTACTCCCACAATTAGACAATATTTTATGAAGAGCTAGTAAAGATTTCAGGCGTTATTTCTAAAAAATAGTCACAAAAATTTAGACACAGAATTCTCTGTGTAAAGAAATTTTAACCGTACCGTGTGCACGTTGTCTTGAAGTTGACGTTTTCTTTAATTGTTTTAATGAAACTGACCTTTCAGTTGACTTATTGTAATTTTTTAACGTGTTACGTATAATAATCGATTAAAGAAGCTCTATATAAATAGTTAAATATTTGTAGTTTGACAACTTTCAAGTTTGCTGCAGCAAAATTCTGGGTTTGTCAATAACCAAATAAGTTCATTAGAGGATGTGCTTTATTCGCTGAAGCGTTTAATTATTTCTATTAAATTCCACAGAAATGACTGCCCTGGATGAGAAACTTTCTGTATTCTGCGGATGCCAGTTCCTTGCAGCGCCGTGACGTCTACGTAATAGCTGTAATGCCACGCCAACAGCTTGCTATATCAAATGAAGTTCGTGATGATTGTCAAACTGGGATATATCTCGAATTCCTTGCCACAACAATTTCTATCTACAACTACAACGTCCTTTACAACATTATAAAAGATCATGTGCGAACTAAAACCTTGACTCGCGCACAGAAATGCAGTATAATAATATGATAAAGCTATCCCTCTATTGATTTCCTAATTGCAGCATTCCTGATTTTTTTTGCCTAAAAGCATCCTGTGTTCTATATCTGCATATCTATACACATATTTAAAATTTGTTTGTAATGTCAAAATAATTACTTTTTTCTGCACAAATAACCGCATGTAATAACTCATTTAAGACACAAACGATTCTTTAAAAATATTCGTCTATCTGTCTGTACTGGATTATCTTACAAACAGTAGTAATCTAGGATTTAGACTACTCTTCTTAAATGTATATTGGTTACAAAAATTGTATTAATTATAAACAATTGTAGAAGTATAAAACAAAGGTGAGTTGTACGTCATGTTTTCATTAAAATAAATAATAGATCAGCAGAAGGTTGCGGAATGAAAATAAAATCCTATAAAGTATACGTATACCTAACTATGTAGTGTTCCGTCTCTAAAAAGGCATAATGATTCTAATAAATTTATATTGAAGTGAAATAGACGACGGGGTATTACGATTTTTTCTGTTACGAAAAAAAATCAGTTGTCTATAAAGTCGGTTTACTGACGATAGTTGAACGTGACAACGTCATAAGAAAATACTGATGGAATGATTTCGTTTTTTCAAAAGAAAATTTTAATTTTATTTGTTTGATAGATATTTTGTAAGGATATAGAGGAGGTAAATGGAAATGTATTATTGTATAGCAGCTGTCCACGCGGACGCATCGCTCACTCAAGTAGGAGAGAGGCAGATATCGAACGCTGCCGAACGCGGAGGCCGATTGTGCCTCTTTGTCGCTCGTTCCGCGCTCTCGCTTGCACTTCAAGCCTATAATTGGAACGCCTCAGAGCGAGGTAACGCCGCATGAGTCATGTTTTTTCGTGTGTGCAGGCGGCGCCATCGAATTATAAGACGTTGTCACGTAAAAAGGGTTACGGCCGCGTGGAGGGGGTAGACGGTAGCGGTGGAGAGAGGCCAACGGCTGTATTAGATGGATATAATGCGCAGCCGCGCGGAGAGCGGGGAGTCCCAGCGGCGTGTGTTGTGCTCAGCTGTTGTTTTCTTACCTCTGCTCTCCACGTGGCTGGCCATCATTGCCTCTATTTGAGGTCTGTGTAAAAACCAAATCATAATCTGCAGTAAACCTGTGAAAATCAAATGTGTGCTGGGACACACAATAGAAGTGAAACTTCAACGGACAAGTGGAAAAACGAATCGCAGCAAAATTTTTACTTGAAATTTTACGGGAAGGTTTTCAAATTGGATAAGTACACTAACAATCTGCCCGTAAAGCTTTAAGTAAAAATTTTGTTGCAATTCGTTTTTCCACTTGGCCGTTGAAGTTTCACTTTTGCTATGTATCCCGCCAGCACACACTTCTTGTGTTTTTAATTTTTAGAACTGTTGTGATAATACAAATTATTTATAAAATATCGAATTCAAGAAAATTCCAAGGATCATGCATTTTTGATTAAGTCACATATTTATATAAATTCTACACACCGTAATGGGCCCTAATAGGTTTCGGTTTATTTCCTTTTGTTCCGTAAATCTGAAAGTAAAGGGAAAAACATTTTCCATAATTCAGTGGGTATTTTTTTATAAGCTCCTAAACGAGGGAGGATAGTACAGGACGAGTCATTATGATAAATGATCCTTTCGTACCGGCCCTTTAGATGTGTTATTACATAATAAAAGCAAAATTTCCCAAACAAAGGATATTAAACAATGGCATGCGAGTTCATTTTATACCGTAATTTTAGATATATATATATATGTATATGTATGCCGTTTGGTTGCCAGATTCTGTTTTTGATACCGTTTGTAATGTGAATTATAAAGAACTCTGCTTGCAGTTTTATTGAATGGACGGATGCTTTTAATGCTGTCGCTCATACACAAAGAATTCTCCATTACTCACAGTTATTACGAATAAATGAACCATTTCGCGTACTAAAGGTGTAGAATAACATTTTTGATATCACCTGTTCTAATAAACTGCTAAAAATGTGTCACGTTTATAGGGTTTAAAGGTTTTCATGACCATGAATTGAAAAAATAATTCAGAAATTCATAGAGATAAATGAAAATACCGTTTCATTTTAAAAACTTCACCATTAAACTTATACATTCGTACAACTCAATTAAAATTTATTGTTGTAGAGCGCTTCTGCAAGAAAGCTCAGTATTTTGCCAACTCCACGTGATCCAGATGAAGAGGAAATTGCTCCAAAATCACGTTCTCACAAACAGGCCGATACTCAAGAAGATGAGAAGAAAGGATTCGCATTTTTGGAATTGGTTCAATATCATATTGACTAGATTATAAAATGGCCAATTTTTATACGAAGATATAAAGAAATTTGCAGTTGTTTGCATTCAAAGTGTACATTTATCGACGAATATGTTCAAAATGTTTCCAAGAATGACTAGCAATCACTACTTATTACTTTGTCAAAGAATCGGTGCTGTATATAGCAAATAAATAAAGAAATTAATAAAAGAAATTCTCAATCTCATATATTCTTTGATTATACGCACAATAAGATTCGGTTATAACAAATGCACCAACGAAAGATGGACACTAAGCAATTAATGTATTTAGTTACAGTTTAAGTGTATATGTATATAGCAGCTTGTAAATAAATTGATTATACGATATATAAACAAATAAAGCGCAATCAAATACATCAGATCGGTCAATATGTAAGAACAAATTTGTCGTTATATCCGGATTTAAAAAATTGCGTCGTCACTATAACAGAAAACATTACAGGTTACAAACGAATGTTTTAATTAAAAACTTATTATTTGTCCGAAAACACTGTCAATATGGCATTTCGAAAATCGACTTAAATGAGAGAACTTTGTAAAATGTATAACACTGAGACCATCAGGATTTCAAAATATCTGTCACGTACCTAGGTCGTATTTAAATATTAATTACTTTCCTAATTACGAAGCAAAACCATTTGGCATGCCAACGCTTCTGTATTTGCCGGCTGTACCCAATCACCGCCTGTGAAAAATAATTTTGTGTTTCTGAATGAAATAATTAATTTTCTGTTGAATATTCGTTTTGGTACTCGTGTTGGATTTTACCCCTGTATTTACTGTAAGCTAAATAATAATGCTTTACATTGGTTCTACTGTAGACTTGTCTGCATGTTTGTTCATTACTCATTTAACCGTGGAAAAATTCCCTCGAAAACTGCACTTTTAGGTTAAAAAATAGTTAAAGAAAACGTTAAAAGGCGCAAAAAAGAGTTTCAAAGGCGTTCGATTTAAAGCTGCGAATTAAAAGATATTAGAATAAGAACAGCAAAAAAGAGCGTTTTTGTTGTGCAATCGAAACTGCTGGGGCTATCTCCTCTTGTAATACAATATTCTGGAATTAGTTGACTATTACAAAGTTTACTAATTTTAACGTATTCGAGGATGAATTAAATAATTGTAATACAGTGGATATAAAGATAGGAGACGAAATTAGAAGAAGTGGCTGATTTTAGTTACCTAGGAAGTCAGATAAGTCAGGATGGAAGGAGTAGTAGGGATATAAAGCAGACGATAGCGCAGGGTTGTGTCGACTTTAAAAGTCACTTCTATGCTCGAGAACGGTTAATTTAGAAATTCGAAAAAGGTTGTTAAAGGTTAGAAGCGTTCGAAATGTGGTGTTATAGGCGAATGGTGAGGATAACGTGGATAGAAAGGCTAGAAATGAAGAGGTATTGGAAAGAATAGGTGAACAGAGGACTCTATGGAAGTCAATAAAAGATAGGCGAGATAGATTGGTAGGACACCTACTTAGGCTTGAAGGTCTAGTCAGAGACATCAGAGGCAGAAACAGGAGTTAAGAGGGGTAGAGGTAGACCTAGATTAGATTACTGTGCGCAAATAGTCAAGGATGTTGGTTGTTCTAGTTTTAAGGAAATGCAAAGATTAGCTCAGGATAGGAAAGAGTGGAGGTACGTGTCCAACCAGTCTTAGGACTGACGACCTTATGATGATGAATACAGTGGATGTTTTTAATGTTTATATTCAATATTCACTATCTAATCATAAAATTTTTATGTTTACAATATGATCTGAGCATAGAATAACTGTATCCAAATTTGGACAGGCCCAACTAGTATTCCGTATAAAACGATAATGAATTCGTCCGATATGGATTTTAAATCAAAATTGTGCGGGAGCCAAATTGTGCCTGCAGCTTTTCTCAAAAGCTTTTCAATGGTGATATATGAAAATTTTATTCTACCGATTTTAGCTTTATGGTAATGACTTACACGAAGGAAACTTTAGAGTTTTATGAACTTCACCAAGTCAATATATAAATTTTTAATAGATAATATAAAATCGTCTGTTTATCCATATTCGCAGAAAACATAAATTCGTCTGCAAAATTGGGAAACAAATTTAGATTTCGCATGGAGAGAGTACTTACGCCTCCTTCGAGCACAAAAATATTAATTTCAAGAATCACAATTATGCAGAATTTGGTAAATTTGTATCAGAAAAGACAACTCTGATAATTATTTTGTTAATCTGTTTTTCATTGGTTGAATAAATTAATATGAGATATAAGTTTACTGCAAAATTATAATAGTATCATAATCACTGTTTCTCTTTTTAATTATTTATTTTAATTATCCGAAAATTAGTTCAATGATATAGGCATTTCCAATCGCTGGAAATGTAGAATGTCTATTAAGAAAAACTTTTATGCAATGTTGCAATAAATATCTAACGTATTTTTATAAAAGTAGCATATAGAAATATTATTATACATACTCGTATACCTGTGTTATTTCAATTTCAGTGATTTCTACCCTTCGCCTATTCGATCATTCAAAATTTATTCCACTGATTTGCATAATGTTCGCATTTTGTGATTCTTTTTATTTCTTTTAAAATTATTACGTTTCTTTCTTAGAAATCGATTATTATATCAAAAAAGTTTTCAGAAGGACGTCTTAAAGTCTATTTTTGTTCCGGAGATGAAAATTCAATACCATCAGACTCGTCCGGAAATACTTAAATTAATAATTTGAAAAATACATGTAAATAAAATGTATTGTAGGGACTGTTGATACATGACCGAGCAGCATGGAAGAGGTTTAGAGCTTATAAGCACAGCATTCGTGGGATCATCCTGGTCCAAGCCTTTCTGGAATCATTAAGGTAAATGCTCTGACACTAATATTCCACAAATATGTAATTCTTCAGTTCTTCATTTCGTCCATCGAAATTCGTAGAAGTCTGACGAAGGCTTTCCGCCCTATTCTCCGGGTTTGTGCAACTATTACACCCTGCACTGTATGATTGTATTACGTACGTATGTATGTGGTATGCTAAAAGCGCGTCTTTTCTTAATAAATTTGAAAACTTTAAATGTCTTTCTATAGGTATTCCGACGAAAAGAACAGGAATAGAATCCTATTTTGAAATTAAAATTACTGTTATACGGTTATAGATACACGTTATTGTTACCAAACAAGAATGGTGACAAATTGACGTTAAAAAAACTCATCCCATTTTCTGCCGGGGATAGACTATAAAAGCTTCGAAATGCGAAAACTTTTCCAGATATTAACGACTTTTCTTGCCGTGCGAAGCAAAACGTTGTTGTTGCGATTTATTCAACTGAAAAGTCAAATTTTCACCGACCAATATAACACCACCCCCTCGCCCCCAACATACATACGTTTTCACGCAAGTTGAATGTCGCCTTCAGCGCCAACCGTTAAAAATCCAATATTCTCGGGCTGTAGAGTAAACATACATTACAGAGACATCATTTATAACGTTTTTAACATGTCATGTCACGCTGTATCTGCTGCTGCACGACGTTACGTCGCGCCGTAGCCAATTCAAATAATGTTTGAATATTTGCAACTGTATAATGTGGCATAATTCTCGATTTTAAATGCATACTCCTCAGAGAGTATATTATAGCTCGTTTATGTTTATGCACTTATCAGTTTGCTATCCATGGCTCATTATCACTGTCACACCTTTTTAATTTATAAATGAATTGCTACTATCCTCACACACCCTAATACCTATCGCACTAATACGTGGATATTTGTAATATGAAACAATCTAATTCGTTCCATTTGTGCCACGGTAAAGGGAATATTAAGACAATTTTTGTAATGTAAAATTATTGATGCAATTTCTGCCCATTATGCTAGTTGTAGTCTACACGTAAAGATAATGGTGTACGGTAGTCGAAAGTTTTAGCGATTATTTTATCCGACCTAACAATATCAGTCTCTGTATGTACCTACTTGATGGTTCATTAAGATTCAATCAATTTTATCTACGTAAAGCTAATAAAGACGCTTTTCAAAAATTGGGCTATTTGTTACATTGAATCATAAAATTAGACCTATAGATACACTCTTTTGAAATAAATATGTATTGTCTATATATCGAAGAACTACATAAAATCGTTTTAAAATATAAAACGCATAAACGTGAACCCGACAGGCTATAACCTCGATTCATACAAGGTCCTGACAGGGACCACCTTATGTGGATATGAGTAGGACTGATGTGCTTTTCTTTACGGAGGACCTGATAAGGAAATGAAAATAAGGACTTAATAGGGAAATTCAAAGAACCCTATTAAAACCCGATTACAAATTTATTATTAAAATAGGCCAGTTTTAAGATAACCATGGATTTATTGATAAAATGTTTCTGACTTCGTATAAAAAGACTGGTAAAATTGTAATTGACATTTAACAAGAAGGAAAATCCATTTTCTCTTGGATAGTCATCTGATGATATTTAAATTCTGGCCAATCAGGTTTATCCACACTCAGTAATCAGGTTTATCCACACTCAGTCTTGATCAGAATTTAATTATATTTACCCTGTAAAGGATGAAATGATCTGATCCCGATAAGATTCTAGAGTGGAAAACTTGATTTAATCAATTTACTTTGATGGGCTAAACTGTGGACATCTTGATTTGGACCTGACAAGTGTAGGTATTCTTATTGCGGATATCTTTATCACATATATCAGGCTAACCTGCTTCTAGTTTCTAGTCGGATAGGTTTCTAATTTTGGGGGTTATTTATTTTATTTAGTTTAGTTCCACAGATTCTAATTCCTCTTTTTGAATTACTTAAGAGTGAAATGCTATTTATTATTATTATTAGTGTTATTCACCATGAAAACCATGCTATTGAAATGGTCAAATAAAATGGATTAAAAAATGTTATATTGACGTGTGTGGGTATAGGTACAGTGCTGAGAAATAAAATTCGTAAAATCCGACTTCGTACTCCCACAATTAGACAATATTTTATGAAGAGCTAGTAAAGATTTCAGGCGTTATTTCTAAAAAATAGTCACAAAAATTTAGACACAGAATTCTCTGTGTAAAGAAATTTTAACCGTACCGTGTGCACGTTGTCTTGAAGTTGACGTTTTCTTTAATTGTTTTAAT